GATCACTAATAAAGAGAAACAAACCTTACTCTTAAAATTTCTAAGGAAAACCATTTTTAAAGTCTATATAAATGACTAATATATTAAATATATGAATGAAATTTTTAATTACATAGAAAAACATATAATCCAAATAAAAATAAAACTCAAACTGCCAAGAAAGCAAAAACTAAGGACTTATTAGAAACATTTTTGGTTTACTACATCCAAATCTCTCCTGCATATCAAACTAGATCTTCCTTAACAAGAAGTTTGAGTTTTATGTTTATTTAAATATGGTACTATGATTCATTCAGTTGAGAAACATATAATTCATTTAGATATAAGCATAAGTAATAATTGTCTGGAATAAAAAAAATTCTTAAGATTTCAAAATTTTAACAAGATTATAGAAAATTTCTTCATTTTAATTAAGCAATGAAACTATTCTGTAATGTTTTCCTTATTTACTCAATCACCTAAAACAAAAAAACTAATTTTTGAGTTCTGTGCTCTTATGCAGTTATTTGAAAGAGCATTAATAATGTGAAAAAAATTTTTAAACAGGTAAATTATTGTGTGTAGTGAAGAATAATTTTCTGTAGTGTAAGTGTTTTATTAATTTCTATGGATTTATTGGTGCCTCAAATAATATAAGGCTCTATAATACAGGAGCATTCAAAGAAAAAAATTAAGCCTATGCACGTAAATAGAAAAATTAAAGTGTCAGTGAGCAGCAACTAAAGCCCACCCAATCAGCCATGTCAACTATCAAGGTCAAACAGATGAGTGGTTAGGACCAATTGTTTATAGTCAATATCATCTTAATTAATTTTACTGTTTATTCATATTGGATTTTACTATCTTCTAAGATTTCTATTTAAATAGTTTTTAAAGTTCAAATTAATTCTTATAAAAAGGACACAAACTTCTTTTTTGACATAAAACTCAAGTAATTGACCACAGAAACAGATGTATTATCTTCTTATATTTTCACTTCAAAAAAACAAAAACATTATCTTATCTATCATAAGTAACTACTAATACATTCCTTGAATGAAAATGTATATTGAAATGAATGTAATATTGGTTGAAATCCCAAAAATCAAAATACATCAAAAACAGCTTTGAAGTCAAACTAAAAAATAGTTCTTAACATCTAGTTTGTTCTACAAACATAAAAACTTAAATTTTATACATTTCTTTTTCTCATATCTTGAAACTTATTCATAAGATTCAAACACTAACTTTTATTTAAATAAATCATAAATTAATCATGATTTACAAGCAAAAAAAAAATGTTGAGATAGATGCTAATAAATATGGAAAATTTTATATACATAAAATGAAAAACTTTATTCAGACACATCACTAAAAGTATATTTAAAATTATTAACTTCTAAAAAAGAACCATTTTTCGTAATCTTATTATTCATCTTCAGAAATATAATATGAATAATTCAAATTGAAACAAAAGAACAATCTAAATAACCTTTTTTAAATCTAAAAATATTAATTTACCATTTTTTAATTATAAAAACATTTATAATTAAAAATAAGAACATTTCAAAACTATTCTAAATATAGATAATCTATAAGTTATACATAATTTAAAAATACAATTACAAAACTCTTGAATTCAGTCATTATGTAGTTCATGTTTCATGTAATTTTTCTTAGAACTTTCTCTATAAAAAGTGTTTACTATTTGGTATTCATCTATATAGCAATTTTTGAAAACTAAATTTATATATTATGCGTAGAGTTGGAAACAATTAACAAGCAATAGAGCTATTAATTATAACAAGATCAATAAACTGAATAATAGGTAATTAATAAATTAAGTAAATAAGAGAACATAATAAATTTTTCATGAACAACATTAATACCAAATACAATGTACAAAACAAACTCACATACGGGAATTAACAGACATACATCAAGCGAATTATAACCTTTTTTAAAATTTAACACAACATAATGAGAACCTCTCTCCTGGATCAGTTTTTTTTTTTTAAAGTTTAGATACAGTACTATTCAATAATTTTGCAAGTAGAATTACACTTAATTTCATTATCTTCTTAAATGAAAATTTATATCAAAGAGTTATAATTAAAACAAACTATTATATTAGAAATATAATAAATAATAAGTTAAGTAAAACTGCTTTGTCATAATTCTGGAAAGTCATTCCCTTTGGGTAATTCACTTTCAAAACACACACACAATATGAAACAATAATATTCATTAATTATAAATTTCATTTTAATTTTGATAAAATGTCGTGTCTGTTTCCAGACAAAAAAATAAAAAGCCTACATACATTATAGTTTTAATGTAAAAAAAAATTAATTACTAATTATTTTCTGCAGATGACAAAGCATTTGAAATAAGAAAGGTGAAAAATAATTTTATGAAAAATCTTATGACTACTGAATTGACATATCAGCAAATGCAATTCATCTTTTCACAAATTTAAGGCAATAAATACTTTAAAGTCCAACACTTAATCATTTAAAATTCTGATTAGATGAATCTCTCTTTCAAAGTTATCTTGCTGTTAAAATATAAGATATTTTGTACTTAAGACCAAAATTTAAACTTTCATAAAAAAGCACTCTTTAAAAGAATCTATACTGCTATATAGATCATCGTGTTTTTTTTTTTATTCTAAAAGCAAGCAAGCTTTTACTGTTCAATTTAATTTATATTTCTTAAAAAAGATGTATGTATTAGCAAATTATAATTTATTCTTATCTATTCATTAAGTTCTTATCATTTTTAATTTCCAAAGTATAATTAATTAAGAGAGCAGTTTTTGAAATTAATTTATCTTAATTACTTCATGATACTTTGGTTTTACTTTTCATTACTCTTATTACAGGCTACACAAGAGTAATCNACTGTTAAGTGAAATATGACATAGCAAGAGTTGGAGAAGTGAAATTAGGAGAAATGTAGATAAACAATTTATAGCATGGTATGTACTGTACACTGCCTTGTTCAAATGCCTGTTATGACAAGACAATGTGAAAGATGCTTATTGAAAAAAGAAAGATTGGAGTATCAGTTTGTAAAACAGATACATCAGTAACATTCCAATATGCCAATGTATCAGTATTGGACCAATAACATCTCTATTATTGATTGATTTTTTTTATTCATACAAAGCTTCAGCTTTTTTACTATGAGTAAAATATAACAATTAAATTACATTTTTGTATTATTGTAAGTTAAATAAAAATGAACTGACAGAAGTTGACAACAGAAAGTTATTAACCTCATTTCCAATCATGACTAATCATTCTTGTTGATTACTAAATGATGACGACACTATATCACAGTAATTGTGCTGTCATGAGTCTCATTATTTAATATATACATATATATTAAATAAATTTTATTTGGCAATCTATGATTTTTAAATAAATAAATAATATGAATAAAACAGATACTGTTCAAAGTTCATCACCATCATCAGATCCACATCATCACATTAAATTTTATAAGAAAATATATATACACAGTAAAACCTATCTATGGCGACCACACACGGTTCCTTTCAAAAAGTGGTTGTTTAGACAGGTGGTTCTCCCAAACAGATGGTGCTGTAGTACCAATAGTACCATGTTTCTGCATTTATTTTGTGCACTTTTTAGCCATTTCTACTAAGCAAAACTCAAGGTGAGCAAAAATAAGTGAATTTTTTCAACGATAGAGCTATATTGATACTGTATTTTATTCTTATTGGATAACTGGATTAACAGGAATCATTGTGATTTTATAAGACAGATTTAATACCAATATTTTAAAGATTAATACAGTATTCAATTTTCTCAATTATAATGCACACTTTCTTTTTTCCGATCTAATTAATTTAACTTGGTTCTCTTTGTTCGCTCTTCAGTTACACGTATTACATCATCGATATAGAATCTCGTCATATCTCTTCACCACTTAGGTTTTGGTTTTCATTAGATTAATCTTATTTTAACTTTAAAAACATTTAATATTTTCTTAAGTACAATAAGAAAAATTATTAATTAATAATAAAATGATTTTATTAATTCTTCTCATAATATGATTTCATTACATCAATGACAATCGTGGAATCGAAAAAGGAAGGTTGCCTGTAAAACTGAGTTTTGTATTAATGCATTTATTGTTTTTTGAATATTTTGTGTGTGAAAATTACTTGCTACTATTTTTCTAAAAATATCGCAGAAATAAGGTAGGTTGATACAAAAACTATTTATCACACATATATATGAGCTTAAAAAAAAAACAATAATAAATAAAATAAATTTTATCAAATGATGAGATCAGCCAATTAATTGTATTGTGTACAATATTTTATACCACTAAGAAAAATACTGTAGGTCTACAGTACAATAAATTGAGTTTTCCCACAGTTAAACTTTGCTGATAATTGCTGTTGTGATAAACCATTTTCACATTTTTACTTTCTCTAATAACTTTAACATGATCTTCTAATGACAGTACTTTGCATTTCTTTTGTTTTTCAGACATTTTCGAACAAACTGAAAAGAATTTCCTTTGTAGCTGGACTAATTCATTTATCATCTGCACCTAATTTCAAGAGTGGGAGAAGTGCCTGAGGTGGTTCAAACAATAGTTTAGACCAGATATTTTTGCAGAAGTAGTTGCTTATTACAATTGTTATATGTTGTTTCTGACCAAAAATCAATGCCTGTGGTCGTGTTATACAAGTGCTCGTTTAATATGGGTAACTTATATGAAGACTATGTATGAACTATTCCATGCCAGAAATTTTTGCCCATTCAGACAGGTGCCCATTGAATGCATGTGGTTGCCAAAGCAGCTTTTTACTATATATATATATATAACTATGATGATGCTGAATTGACAAAATAAATTTTTCCATCATGTTCATATCTTTCAATAAAATATTAAGTACAAGTAAACCCTACATTACTTATTTATAGTTTTCATCATTATATGAAGACTAAAAATAGAAAATGTTAATACAATAAACTTACCGAAAAGTCCCTCGTCTTTTTGTTACTGGTAATGAAGGAAGAAGAGGAGGATATGAATTACTGGGACTCACATCACATGATAAAACTGAATCTGTAAAGAAAAACAAAAAGACTTAAGTTTTTCTATTTCAATATTTAAAAAATATACTTTTTATTCAAAATAAACAAAAAGTATAGTAAAAGTTTATTAATCCGGCACCTATAAAACTAGGGAGGTACCAAATTGTGAAAATACAAAAATATCCGGTAAAGTTCAGTAAGTTATAAGCAACTGCATAGCATAGAAACATTACTTGATGACTGTGGCATAAACACACACTAGGCACAGAAAAGCACCAGTGGAAGCATTTGACCCAACACAAATAAGGTGCTATAACAAAATGAGTCATTTTACTCGATCATATAGTTCTCAATTCCATAGTCAACTTCGCAACATGTAGCAAATTGAAGGGCTACATCCCAATCTTTGCTTGATTTCTACCCAGGTCTTTAGCACAATGTCAAACAAATTATGATTTGAGAAATACTAGCATGCTAGATTATTGGCTATTTTTCAGAAGGTGCTGGATTATTAGTCATTCTGAATTAACAAACTTCTATTGTAATTACATTTCATTATTGTCTTTATTAATTTATAATGGATAAATCACAGCTGACATTTTACAATTTTTAATTTAGTAAATATTTAACAAGTAAAATAAAAAAAATGTTCAAGGTTTGATTTTTTTCTTTAAATATTAATTATATTTGTTTTATTCATATGTTATATTCAATAAATCACCAGCATTAATGTGCTTCATTCTGATCTTTCCTTCACAGATAAGAATTTAAAAGATTCTAATCTTCAAATGTTTCACAATTTAAATATAAAACCTATACAAAAATACTTTCATTCTTCAATCTCTGGAATCTGTTTACAAAGCATACTTAAATCATTTGATTTTTTGACACACAATTCAATAGTTTGACCTTTGCAGTTCTGTAGTTTAAAAATAGACTAGAGCATGCCTATTGGCTGCATAAGAAAAGTGACATTATAAAAACAGAAATGTTGAGCCCTATCTGAAAAAATCAGATACTACTGATTATTATATCTGATATTACTTTTTTTCAATTTCTCTAAACTATTGTTATGTTGATGATGGAGTGTTTCCTTCCTGACATTTATACCAGTACATAGTGTCATACTGCCCCAAAATCAAGGCATGACTACAGAAAACAAATGTTTTGTTTATGCACTTTTTGTATATGTATCTGCATTTAAGAATTTCCTATGTTAACATGTGTTTAATATGGCAGATTTCTATAGTGTGATGTATGTACTATTGTTAAGTCCTAATATTTCAAGACTTTTGTGTAATGTATTGTAAGAAAGGATTATTGGCACAATGTATACAGCATCTGTGAAGAAAGAACTTACTCAAAAAATACCTCATTCAGAGTATTTGCTAATTTTTTTCAGTGTGTGTATTTTGTATGTTGTGTTTTTGTCTATATATTTATGATGTATATGATTTTGTTTTGTTTGTCAATGAATGTGATGTTTTATTTGTGATTATGACACAGTCTTAGTATATTTTGTGTTGTTTTCTATGATCTGAATAGTATCTGTAGAACAATTCCTGAGTGTGTAGAAGTTGATGTTTGTATGCAAGTATTTGATATATTTGCTGTTTGATATCAATGTAAATAGTCAGTTTGTGTTAATAGTTTGTAATCAGACATGATGTGTTGTGTAGTCTCATGCATAATGTGGCACTTCCTACAAGTGTTGTCTTTGAACATTTTGTCTTAAAATGTGCTTTCTGTAGTTTATTATATTGATGACCTGGTCTTATAAGACAATCATAAATTCTTTTCTCTTGAAAGAGGTATCCATGAGTCAGCCAGCAGTTTGATGCAGTTCTGTCAACATTATCCTGGTTGACATTGTTAGGATGCCTACCATGGAATTACTCCTGAGCCCAAGACTGTCTGATGGTGTCTATGCATTTTTTTGAATTATGCTAGATCAGTGTTGTGTAAATTTAAAAAAATCAGTGTTGTGTAAATTTAAAAAAGTCAGTGTTGTGTAAATTTAACAGTGAACTGTTTTTAAATAGTGGCAGGCAAATGTTAAAACAATTAAATACAAAACAAACTGAAAAATATAAAACTAATGTAAGTTGAAAGTCTTGCTACCATTTAAAAACTTTCCATAATTCATTGCAAATCTCTATCCATTTTGTGTTAAGTGTATAGGCATGTAGAGCAGCAACTGCATTATTCTATGAATCATCAGATGATAGTGATGCAATCACACTAAGTGGAGAGCCAGTATTTCTGCATAATTATTGCAGTCTGGGAACTTCTTAGCAACTTTTCAGCAAAAGCTGACAAGTTGTTAAGAGGTTCTCAGACTGCAATGATTATGCAGTAATACTGAATATAACTTATTTAGATGGGCATGTATCATCATTTTTAAAGTCTAGCCTTCCAATTTTACAAATCTGTCATTTTTTTTTCTTTTTTTGAGATCCAATACATATTAAAAATGTCAATTCAAATAATAAATAAATCTAAATAACTTAAATAAAAAATGAAACATCTCTCTAAAATAAATTTTAAAAAATATACTATTTTTCAAAAAATTTTGTTATTTGGTCAACCCTTCAGTTATAGAGAATTAGTTATTATTATAAAAATTTCTTTTTGCTAATAAAAATATTAAACAAATTTATATTCTTATTAAGCAAATTATAATTTATTCTTATCTATTCATTAAGTTCTTATCATTTTTAATTTCCAAAGTATAATTAATTAAGAGAGCAGTTTTTGAAATTAATTTATCTTAATTACTTCATGATACTTTGGTTTTACTTTTCATTACTCTTATTACAGGCTACACAAGAGTAATCAAGAGTAAAACAAAAGTATTGTGGAATGAATAGTTTTAAATATATTATTATTCATTGGGAAATAATGCCAGTTTATGAATTCAGAAAATTTCTATTCATTGCAATATCAAGAATGTTTTGATCACTAATAAAGAGAAACAAACCTTACTCTTAAAATTTCTAAGGAAAACCATTTTTAAAGTCTATATAAATGACTAATATATTAAATATATGAATGAAATTTTTAATTACATAGAAAAACATATAATCCAAATAAAAATAAAACTCAAACTGCCAAGAAAGCAAAAACTAAGGACTTATTAGAAACATTTTTGGTTTACTACATCCAAATCTCTCCTGCATATCAAACTAGATCTTCCTTAACAAGAAGTTTGAGTTTTATGTTTATTTAAATATGGTACTATGATTCATTCAGTTGAGAAACATATAATTCATTTAGATATAAGCATAAGTAATAATTGTCTGGAATAAAAAAAATTCTTAAGATTTCAAAATTTTAACAAGATTATAGAAAATTTCTTCATTTTAATTAAGCAATGAAACTATTCTGTAATGTTTTCCTTATTTACTCAATCACCTAAAACAAAAAAACTAATTTTTGAGTTCTGTGCTCTTATGCAGTTATTTGAAAGAGCATTAATAATGTGAAAAAAATTTTTAAACAGGTAAATTATTGTGTGTAGTGAAGAATAATTTTCTGTAGTGTAAGTGTTTTATTAATTTCTATGGATTTATTGGTGCCTCAAATAATATAAGGCTCTATAATACAGGAGCATTCAAAGAAAAAAATTAAGCCTATGCACGTAAATAGAAAAATTAAAGTGTCAGTGAGCAGCAACAAAAGCCCACCCAATCAGCCATGTCAACTATCAAGGTCAAACAGATGAGTGGTTAGGACCAATTGTTTATAGTCAATATCATCTTAATTAATTTTACTGTTTATTCATATTGGATTTTACTATCTTCTAAGATTTCTATTTAAATAGTTTTTAAAGTTCAAATTAATTCTTATAAAAAGGACACAAACTTCTTTTTTGACATAAAACTCAAGTAATTGACCACAGAAACAGATGTATTATCTTCTTATATTTTCACTTCAAAAAAACAAAAACATTATCTTATCTATCATAAGTAACTACTAATACATTCCTTGAATGAAAATGTATATTGAAATGAATGTAATATTGGTTGAAATCCCAAAAATCAAAATACATCAAAAACAGCTTTGAAGTCAAACTAAAAAATAGTTCTTAACATCTAGTTTGTTCTACAAACATAAAAACTTAAATTTTATACATTTCTTTTTCTCATATCTTGAAACTTATTCATAAGATTCAAACACTAACTTTTATTTAAATAAATCATAAATTAATCATGATTTACAAGCAAAAAAAAAATGTTGAGATAGATGCTAATAAATATGGAAAATTTTATATACATAAAATGAAAAACTTTATTCAGACACATCACTAAAAGTATATTTAAAATTATTAACTTCTAAAAAAGAACCATTTTTCGTAATCTTATTATTCATCTTCAGAAATATAATATGAATAATTCAAATTGAAACAAAAGAACAATCTAAATAACCTTTTTTAAATCTAAAAATATTAATTTACCATTTTTTAATTATAAAAACATTTATAATTAAAAATAAGAACATTTCAAAACTATTCTAAATATAGATAATCTATAAGTTATACATAATTTAAAAATACAATTACAAAACTCTTGAATTCAGTCATTATGTAGTTCATGTTTCATGTAATTTTTCTTAGAACTTTCTCTATAAAAAGTGTTTACTATTTGGTATTCATCTATATAGCAATTTTTTAAAACTAAATTTATATATTTTGCGTAGAGTTGGAAACAATTAACAAGCAATAGAGCTATTAATTATAACAAGATCAATAAACTGAATAATAGGTAATTAATAAATTAAGTAAATAAGAGAACATAATAAATTTTTCATGAACAACATTAATACCAAATACAATGTACAAAACAAACTCACATACGGGAATTAACAGACATACATCAAGCGAATTATAACCTTTTTTAAAATTTAACACAACATAATGAGAACCTCTCTCCTGGATCAGTTTTTTTTTTTTAAAGTTTAGATACAGTACTATTCAATAATTTTGCAAGTAGAATTACACTTAATTTCATTATCTTCTTAAATGAAAATTTA